GTCCCTGGAAATACTCAGAACTCAGCTGGGCATGGTCTTGTGCTAACTCGGAAGTTAGCCCTGCTTTGAGCGGGAGGTTGGATTAGAGAATTCCCAGGGGTCCCTTCCAACCTAAAATGTCATATGATTCTATGATTTTAAGACAGCAACACTTTTCACAGGCTGCTAAAAGCAGAGCAGAAACAATCTGTTCTTCATGAAAGTTCTGGATAAGACAAGAAATCATGGGTTGGTTTCGGACTCCTAAGGTATTCAGGTTAGACATTATGTAGATAGTGAAGCACTGTTAAAGCAGTCAGACTTTCTAGAGAAACTATGGCATCTCCATCACTAGAGCTCTTTAAGAACAGGAAGGTGAAGTAGGTAGTCTCTTGAGAACCCATCCAGTATTTATGAATTTTATGAGAGTAGTTATCTGTATCCATAATTGCCCTTTTATAGAATGTCCTAACTGTGACCAAAATACAGCAGCTGTGGCCCTCAGAGATGCTTTTGGCTCTCCGTGTCTATTGTGGTGAACAGGGTGGTTTCCCAGAACATTGCAATCCACTCTCAGGGGATATCTCCTGAGGCTGTCCCAACTTTTAAGCACACATCTTTTTGCTCATCTCTCTTAATGGCAGCTGTCTGGGGAGAGCTGTGCTGCTGAAGGCCAAATACAATGTCAATACTCCCTAAAAATACAGAAAATTTTCAACTAACTCTCCCCCTTAATTATTTTATAAAAGTATTATTTCTACATTTCTTTCTCATAACAAAGTGATTATGTTGACCTGCGTATTACTGCACAGGCCACAGAGAGAGTATTGGGAAAAAAAAACACAACAAAAAAAACAGGTGGAAAGAGCAGTGTGCTGTCTGTATTCCCCTTCTGAGCATGCCTAGGGGAATTTGTTATGATGCAAGTAAATCCCCAGGGCATCTCTGTGGCCTAGAGCAGGGAGTAGCTGCCATGAATCTGTTCTGCAGCTATTCCCGACCCATTGCTAGCAAGCAGTATACTAGGACTCCCAGACTCAAACTACAGCTGAGATGGAGAAAAAAGTAAAGTAATGCCAAAGAGCATGTTGCTTCCTTATTACTGTTGACTTTGGATCACTGAAAGTTAGGAAACTACCAGTTTAAGGTGTTCATAACACATTTCTTAATATGCTGTCTATTCTTGAGAGAGGTGATAGAGGGACAGGGCCATTCCTGGGACTCAAATAATGACAACAGGCTGAACTCCATCAGATTATGAAAAATGTCCATCAGCCACTGAAGGGTACCCAGTAACTTCTTGGGATTTGACCAGGGCATTCCTCATATTGTCCCAGTGTGGGGAGGAGTGTTCCTGTTTCTAAGGAGACAAAAGCAAGACTCTACCCATTTTACTAACTCTCTGTCTCCCTGTCTTATCCCTTTCCCCCTCAAAATTAAACACAACATTACATAGTCCCATTGCACTTTTTCAGATCTTAACCCAAAAGGCCTGCAAGCACAATGTTTCCATCAGAGCACTGCGACCGTGCTCGTGGAAGTCTTGCAGAAACCAGGCTCCACAGGCTGAAAATGCGTGCTGCTTTGAAGTGTAAATGTGGTATTGCATAGTCTGGAGACTTTGCTTTTAAGGAAGAAAAGAAACAAATGAGCAATACC